AAAAAAAAGTAGCAGATTAAAAAAAGTAGAATCCATGCTAAGAGAAAATAACAACTCTTGTCTAACCTTTTATTGCTGTCGTTTTCTTGAATGAAGAATTAAATGCACAACATTTTTACCAGTGCAAAATGCATGCCAGTATATGAAACAGTTACTTATTGTTCACGTGCAGACTTGTTAGAGATACTTGTGTAGGTACAGGCACATGTATACGTTTATGTATGATCAAAATGTTCACTAGCAACCAATGAACGCAAAATGTCCTTAAGCCCAACTACTCCTTTACAAAGGAGAGCGAGTGGGTATACCAGTCAGAGATTTACCAAGCCTGCCTGCTCTTCCTGCTCTTTCCAAGGCAGCTGGAAGACCTGTGTGATGCTGAGGGACAATCTTTAGGCTAAAAGAAAACTTCATAAAAGGTGCAAGACAAGACTCACACCCTAGCAGGAAAAGTCTCTGCCCTGTCAAGAGTTTGTTTTAGAGAAATGGTATCTTTTTTCAGGGTCTACAGTAATAAGGTAATCTGGGTGTTCATAGGCCTCAGGCAGGAGAGAGGAGTTTTATTTTAAAACTGTCCCAGACCTATTATGGCTCAGATGAGTCAGCAGAACCGTGTTTTGTCAAAACAAAAGCTGGAAAGCTTTTATTTTAGCAAAACTTACCCACCGTCTGACTTAGAACTGCCTTTTATAATTTAGGCTTATAGAACCAGCGAGAGTGAAATCCTACCCGCATCAAGTCAGGGTACCCCGAACATTAAAATACTACAAATCAGCATCCTCATTTCAGCATCCCAGATACATATCTATAAAGTGGGAACAATATTTCCCACCTATTTCAAGTGCCTTGATACCTTGAAATTGAACTCTCTTCAGAAAAAGGAAGTACTTGCTGTTATAAAAGAGTTGTGCCAAGTAGGTCCTAGTTAAGATATTTTAAAACAAAAATAAATTTAGTACACCTCAGTCATCCATTTCACGGCAAAACAGTTACTGTGGTAGCCTCACTAATGTTTTCCTGATTTATCAGATATAATGTTTACATTCTTACTTACAACCATCACAGAGCATTTTCTGACATGCTGACAGGAATTTATCTTAGCCACAATCTAGAAGAGATTTTCTGTAGCATTTTACTATGGAAGATCCCATGTCCACAAATTGTTACTTCTTTAATGCGGATTTCTGTAAGTGGCAGAATTTGACCCCGTGCATTCTTTTCTTTTTCCACCCCTTGTGATGGATGCACTCCTCCTCTTTGAACTAACTGAACTTTGGTCCAGGCAGATGCTCAGCAAGCAGGCCTAACCAAAGTTAATCCTATTGTGTGAGGCCATCAGTGAGAACTCAGCACAAAACCCAAAAAAACCCGGTTTGGCTGGAGACTGGGCTGATAAGCGACCGAAACTGAATAAACACAACAGAAAATCTGACTACAGATCAATCACTTTATGCTAAAAATATCTGCAGCCATCAGGGTCTGTTGAGCTTTCCCTCCATAGCAGCTGGCTGCGCAGTGGTGATCTCCCCTTGAGTAGGGACACCTCTCAAGCTTACTCCTCGAGGCTGAGAGATCCCTTACCTGACACCAGACATCCATGGGTTGGTAAGTGACATTTTTTGCATGCATGTAACATTTAAGATACATATAGTAAGCTTAAGCGATAATCTTTATATCCCATACTACCTTTAAGTGTAGTAAATAGTAGAGCATTGGCCACCAATCCATCTGCACTTATTAAATATTTTACATACCTAAATGTATCGGGGATAAAGCCCTGATAGAATTGCATCTGGCCAGGGACATCAAGGGCAACAAGAAAAGATTCTATAGGTATGTCGGGGATAAAAGGAGGACAAGGGAAAATGTGGGCCCTCTCCGGAACAAAACGGGAGACCTGGTTACCCGGGACATGGAGAAGGCGGAGGTATTTAATGACTATTTTGCCTAGCCTCACCATCCAAGCTGCAGAGGGCAAAGGTGGGGACTGGGAGAATGAAGAGCCGCCCACTGTGGGAGAAGGTCAGGTTCGAGACCATCTAAGGTACCTGAAGGTGCACAAGTCCATGGGACCAGATGAGATCTGTCTGCGGGTCCTGAAGGAACTGGCGGATGAAGTTGCTAAGCCACTATCCGTCATGTTTGAGAAGTCGTGGCAGTCTGGTGAAGTTCCCACTGACTGGAAAAGGGGAAACATAACCCCCATTTTTCAAAAGGGAAAAAAGGGAGACCCGGGGAACTACAGGCCAGTCAGTGTCACGTCTGTGCCTGGGAAGATCATGGAACAGATCCTCCTGGAAGCTATGCTAAGGCATGTGGAGG